CCCCCCCGTTCCTCTGATTCACCCTTTTGAAGACAATGACAGGAACATTTTGGACAGAGAAGACAGATGGTTTAGAGGAGGCGTGAAGAAGGCCATCAACAGTACATCAGGCTGGATCAACCATCCCCGAACAAAGCCGGAGTGGGATTGTGGTATCGCTCTAACCAGCCACTTACATCGGTGCATTCACCTCCATTTATGTGCCTCCAATGACTGTTACATGACTACCAAGTGCCTCTCATGGGATGTCAAGGTGTGAATTGCTATCAGGGGTCAAGCGCTAGAGAAACACCCCAGCAGTCATTCAGTAAAGCGGATAAATAGCAAGAGAACAAGCTAATTCTTCCTTATTTACCGTGGTGAGATATTCCACTACCTGGATTACTGGGAAGCTTCATTAGAGTCTCATTCAATGCTTCTAAGAACTGCTCCACAAACACCCAGCTCAGCCGCATAAACAAAGGTTGTAAAAACAACACCATTACTGAGGCTGCAGCCCATTTCACCATCCAACTTCCCCTGTCAACTTAAGTCCATTTAACACAAGCCAGTTGGCTGGAGCGCTGCCATGACAACAGAGTGCCGGCGAAGGGGAAACTCGACTTCAGTTTAAATGTCACAACTTCTCTCTAACAGCTGTAAGATGGTGAAACAATCAGCGGTTCAATGGCGCCAAAGTGGGAAGAAGTGGCCTCCAGAGTGTGCGTGTGTGCGCGCCACGGCAATCAGTTAGCTGCTTATAAAGCCTGCATTAAACACGCAGCATCTCTCACCTTGACAACCCGCCAACTGCGAGCAGACAAAGGCGTATTCCAGCAGAACTGGACCCTCCTTCATTGATTTTTTTTTACGCCGATAATTTCCACAAATCGAGGGGGCTTTTTGGAGCTGATGGGAAGGACTCGTCATTTTTGCCGCCGACACACAAGCTGGGGTTAATTGAGGTGGACAGTCCAAATCATGACACTAAATGGCTTTAAAGCTGCACTTATTTTCGCCGGTGGTGCGTGAATGTCACGGCTGCTCGAGCTACCGGCGGACCCCCTCTGACCCTCACGCACTCACTGCCGGCCGCTGGGGGCTGGCATCGCTAAAAGGCGTCTGCCAGGGTTATCCGGTTATTGGGTCTAGATGCAAATATGCCGGTGAGATCATTCACAGTTTGCCGTCAGACAGTCACAGCTGCTTGCGGTGAAACTGTGCCAATGGGAGAGAGCGATAGAAAAAGATGGTTGTGTGTGTGTTACTGTGTGTATGTGGGTGGGGGGCTCTGACTTTTTTTTTTTTTTTTTGAAAGAAAAACAGACCATGTTAGCGAAAACACAACCTAACGTAGGTTTTTAGTGTCAAAGCCTGTCAGGTTGCTGTACGTTTCTCCCTTACCACTTACAAATGGCTCAGCAGGCATACAATTCACTCCTCAGTGGACTTGGTAGCTGACTCACACACCAACTTGCTGGCTGGCTGGCTGGCTGGCTGAGCTGCCAACTGCCCCCTTGCCGTCACAGACCCTGTTAAAAACTGCAGTATCTTGTTTGCAGATGTATCTAGACTGCGCCAATATCCAGCTGATGTGGCCTGCGTGCAGTTCGGCTTCCGAATGCCTTTTAAATGTGTCTCGACTGAGAACTTGTGATTGGATTTCACTTGCCTTCATCATATTTGACGCGCGTTTAGATTCCACCATACTGCTGCTGACTATAGGAGTTATTAGGCATCTGGCCACGGGGGCAGGGTTGAAAAGCTTTTGGCCACAGGAAGGATAGATTCCGATTGGCTGGAAGGTGTGGAGTCACTTTTAGCAACTGGACCGTATCTGCATTATAGGTGTGCAGTCAGAAATGTGTGCATCGAAAGGCAGTGAACGTGGACGTCGGGTGGCCCTTAAACCACACATACATCACAATCATCTACATCCTACTGTGTGTTGAGCTTTGTACGGAGTGATTCAGTCAGATTAGATTGCCTACGTAAACCCTGGAGGAAAAATCTAAATGTTTTTTTTTTTCTTACCTGTCATTCAGCAGCGGCTTGTATTTTGAAAGGTATTATCCTAATCTCGCAGACATCTTTTATCTATCCAAAAAAATATATTTAAAAAAAAAAAGGAAATCCCAGATAAAACCAGGAAAATGTTGGGTTTGAAAGTTGTTTTTGGCCCACAGAAACATTTTATCAGTACAGACAGACTGAAGACATCTGTGAGATAACAATGCAACTCACTGCTGATAGTTAGGGACATATTATCATTTAATACACTATATATTCAGGCTGCAACTAACAATTAATCTGTGGACGATTTTCTCAATTAACTAAATAATTAAATTATTCAGAAAATTATGAAAAATGTCGATCATGGTTATCCATTAAGATAATCAGTTTACTTTCATAAAGGACTAAATCAGATAAACTAAAATCTGATAATTTGGACATTTTCTTCTTAAAAAATGACTAATTAAACTATTAATTGATGATCAAAACATCGACGCATCCACACGGACTTCCAATATCCAGCTGTTAGAGGCGAGTGATCAGATCCTTTTATCATTAGGTACGAATAGGGCTGACTCAATCTTACCTGGCTGCCTGAGTTCATTACATTACTGGATGGTTGGGCAGCTGGCTCGCTAGTTGACTGAGTAATGATCGAACACACTGCCTGCCAGCCTCCCTGGCTCGCTAACCCACTCACAGATTGACTACCTGCCCGCCTGAATGACGACCACACTGAAGCCCGCCTTTATTCCTGCACGCCGGCCACTCTTCCTTCAAACACCAACAACACGAAGCGACAGCCTGACGACGCCGGATGTTACCTTCGTGGTGAAAAAACAGGGGGCCAATAACATGACAATCAGGGCTCCGTGCAATGCGCCACTCGCTGACCATCCCCCTCCCCGCCCCCCCGCAGCACCGAGGTCGTTGCTCTCACAAAGAAATCGATATCCAGCAATGATTAAGCTTGACGCGGCGTATCGGCTGTAAAAAGGTCTGGCCAAGTTCACAAAAGGAGCGGAGACGATACATGACTTTTTGTTGAACGTCAGCAGCTGAGTGCCTGTGAGCGAGGAGGAGTTGACGGATGTGATGCAGCTGGGCCGGGAGCATCGATCAAACACGTTCATCCCGCGCCGACAAAAAGGCCCGCTTCCCAGAAACAGACCTTCAGCAGTAAAGTCCGACACGAGCTCCACCGTTACCCACAGGCCCCTTGCTTGAGTCATTTTCATATCTAATAAATGTATTCATTCACTCTCTTTTTGTGTCGTCCCACTTGCATCACTTGCCACCTTCAACGTGACTCAGTTTAATATCAGCGGGCTGCGCCGGCGGTGGGAGGGCGTGATCCACGCGTCGTCACCAAAGCAGATACGTGAAAAGGACAACCAGGAACCCACTACCGAAGGAAATCCAAATGACATCAGCAACCAAGATCCAGGACATTGCTGTATGTGCTTTTTCTGACGACATTCATTCGTTGTGTGAGAAAAAAAATAAAATAAAATGCCACCAAGGAAGGAACTATGATGTTTCCTGAGATTTTAGAGTGTACAATCTGTCCTTTCTGGGCTGCAGGTCTGATGAAAAACCTGTTCTCTGCTGCTTTTGTTGCTCGTGTTGTTATCTGTGTGTGACTTGCCTTGAAGTCGGTACAACAGGAACCCGCTTTTAGAGTTTTGTAACTCATCCAGCCCCCCGGCCATTACCGAGATGTTGATGGAAGTCACAAATTGCCCTGCAAACAAGTTGCGGCCTACAGCGTAAACAAATGCGAGGAGTCCTTTGTTTGCCTAAGTTCTGGGTTAAAGGTCCATTGTGTAACATTTAGGAGGATCTATTGGCCGAAATATAACACTGATAACTATGTTTTCATTAGTATTTAATCACCTGAAAATAAGAGTCTTTGTGTTTTCGTTACCTTCGTTTTAAGTCCCCTTCCGGTGAGGCTGCCGTGTTGAACGTGCCATGTTTCTACAGTAGCCCATGATGGACAAACCGAACAGTGGCTCTAGATAGGGCCACCATATTGTCTCCTACATGCTTGGAAGGGTGAGGCGAGTTGGTTGCAATCTGCAATCCGACCTCTAGATGCCATTAAATCCTACGCACTGGACCTTTAGTAGAAACTGGATTAGTGGCGGAACAGCTTGTCGATTAACGTCTCAGTCGATCAACAAACCAACTACTTTGATGATAAATTAATCCTTTAGTCATTAATCAAGCAAACAAGAGCGATTTCCAGCCTCTCAAATGTCAAGATTTACTGCTTTTCACTGTTTTCTAGCATTTAAAATGTAATATCTATGGGGTTTCCCCTGTTTCACCGCATTAATAACAGACTTTTGGATCATCTTTAATGTTGTTTTCAGGTCCCAAAAGGGTTTTTTATTGTCATATACGGAAAATTAAGCAATTTGAACAACTCACGTGGAGGTCTGGAGAAGATGGTGTGCACATTAATCAATAAGCCTCACTTACAGCCCTTATCTAAAGACTATACCATCGATTCTGCGACATCTTGAAGGGAACTGTTCACCACTTCCTGACATGTCAAAGTATAGAAACGTAACCAATCGATGTAAACAGACGTAGATGTAAACCGAGAGCTTAACAGATGAGGAAATGAATCATCAGTTGTAGCTTCAGTCGAGCACTTCCACTGGATATTTGACTTTTAAGGAGGTTACCTTTACATTTATAGACCAAAATATTGATCAAAATCGATACGAAAACGGCCAAATATCGACTCCGGTTGACGTCGCTGACGTGCGTACGCTTGACAGTTAACAGGCTTCACGTTGAGCCCCCCCCGAATCCCAACATTTGGATCATTTTGTTTCGCTTCCTGACTGCTATGTAGTGTGAAGGAATGTGTGCATGAGAGAGCTTCAGCACTATCAGCCCAGAGGACCGGTATGTCTGCTTTTGTGTGTGTGTGTGTGTGTGTGTGTGTGTGTGTGACAGCCCTGCAGCTTTTTTTAAGGAGGACATATACTCACAGTCAAGGTGTTTCTTCTTGGGTCCGCTGACTTCATGTGTGGTGGCTTTGCACACAGCCTTGCTGATGGCCGACCCGGTCATGCTGTGCTGTGCTGCTGCGATCCGATCCGTGATAGACTGGCCCGACATCGCTTCTATTTTCTCTCACACACACACAAACACACAAACACACACTACTACACTGCTTTTTCTTCTTTCTTTTCACCCTCCTTCTATCAGCTAGAACAGCCCAGCGACGATCCGATCAATGGATCAACTCCCTGCAGGGGAGGAGGTAAAGGGTCGCGATCAGACACCCTAATGTTGGAGGTTTTTTTTTTTTCTTTCTCCAGGTGCAAAACCTGTGCAGTGATGTCAGATCACTGGCGGCAACAACAACAACAACAAC